ACGACCTAGGTGGTCGGCAGTGAAGGGGGTCGCCGAATTCACGCATGTGGATCGCTTTTTCTCCCTTGTAGTCTAGGTTTTTAGGTTGTTCGTTGTCTTTGCTTCGACAACGACGATGACAACGCTGAATAAAGATTCTTCGGATCCTTCCCGGATAAGGCCATCGGTCCTATGGTTGGGGATGGATTTGAAAATCAGTCTGTTAAAGTAAGGATGACGTGGCGGCGGCATCCTCGTGGCGGACCTGTGTCCTCGGGCTCCGCCGTTGCGACGCCGTTTGCTCCTGAGTCGACGCGGAGTTTGGAAGGTAGTCTAGGAGCGGATGCAGATTATGGTCTGCATCGACGATATCTAGAAGAAGGAGCATGTGTTGGGCTCGTGGTTCGTGGATGGCAGGTAAGGTTTCCTCCTTCGGCGTTTTAGTCGTGGTGGGGTGTCAGTTCTGAAGTTCGATGACGTTTCTGAGGTGTTGTCTCGGTCTGGTTCGTTCAACGACAAGGGCTTCACTTTTGATGAGCCACCTTGGAGGTCCACAAAGCAGCATATCAGCAAAGGGAGCCGCGTTGAGCTCGGGTGAGGAGGTGATTCGTTATTCTTTGGTGGCTGCTGTGCTAAGGCCGGAGGCAGGTGACGGGCGTTTGTGTCAAACTCAAAAATGTTTTGCTATTTTTTAGTTTTGTCCTGTCGGTCTTTACATCTTATCTATACCAATATAAAAAGACCCAAATGGGCAGATCCAAACTATCTCGACCGTCAAATCATGTTATCTAGCGGTTCAAATCGCTCCAATGTTGAACACCAAACACGTTTAACGCTTTAATTATCCATTATTGTCATTGGTTATAAACATGTTTTGACTCAACATTATCCTTTGAAATCTGCCATGTAATTAATATCTTACCATTTTCACGAAAAAATAATTGATATCTTACCAAATACCAACATGCAACAGATATATCTTACCTAATATAACATGCAACTAATATCCTACCTAATATAAACGTGCATTGCACATACATTATTACTACTGACTTATAATTTATTTGTTATGATATAAATGAGACATATATTATCATTTAAAAACTCGATAAACCAAAAATGCACAAACCGACCGAGCCGGAATGAATTCTTAGCTCCACGTCTCACCCGTGGATGGCACAGTCGTCCCACGAGCAGAACCAAAACAAAGACCCGTACGGCCAATCGGCCGAAAATTCCCCAGTCCTGGCCTCTTAGCCCCAACCCTAACCCTAGCCAATCGCATTCCCATGGACGACGACGCCGGCGACGCCTCGCCGCCGCCGGGACCTGCCCCCCTTGCTGCCACAGGCGCCCCGTCGTTGCGTGACATGGCGGCGTCCCCTACCAGCTCGCGCTCCGTGACGGAGACGGTGAACGGCTCCCACCGCTTCGTGATCCAGGGCTACTCCCTCGCCAAGGGGATGGGCGTCGGGAAGCACATCGCGAGCGAGACCTTCACCGTCGGGGGATACCAGTGGGCTATCTACTTCTACCCAGACGGGAAGAACCCGGAGGACAACTCGGCCTATGTTTCCGTCTTCATCGCGCTCGCTTCCGAGGGCACTGACGTCCGCGCTCTCTTTGAGCTCACGCTGCAGGACCAGAGCGGCAAGGGCAAGCACAAGGTCCACTCCCATTTCGATCGCTCGCTCGAGTCTGGGCCCTACACCCTCAAGTACCGAGGCTCCATGTGGTAAGCAGTCGCCTCTGAATAACCCTCCTGCTTTGGTTGAATTTGTTCTGGTATGAACTATGACACTGTCGTTGAATTGGCGTCCGTGGAGCTTTAGCTAGGACAGTTGAGCCTGTGATTCGATTGATGTTAGTGCTTGCATGCTGTGGGTAGTTGTCATGCTTTAGTCTAGGGATTCAACTTCAGGTGATGGCAGGATTATTAGGTGATAGCAAGGCAGCCATTTTTGGTGTTCTAGTACAGCCACGAGGATTATCCGCTACTTAATGTCTATTAGCTCAATCCAATGGCATGCTACTGTTTGAATTATCTGGTTTTGATCTGTTGAGTATGGTATGCATCAGTAGCTTTACAATTTTGATTTTTCATTCCTAATTTCTGGTGTAATATGTTGCTTTGCTGTGGTGCTATGCCCAACTATTGATCACAATGATGACAGTACACATTGTGGAAAACACTATAAAAGGTAGCCTGACTGTAATGCTTCGATTGATGAACTGCCCGTAGGGTAGAGGGGAATGAAGAGGCAGAGTTGGCTGGAAAGAAGAGACTTGAGATGCTTCAGAACTAGTTCATCTTTTTGCCTAATCTCAATAGTAGCACACACATCCTCTGGTATAAAAGGTTTATCCCTTAACATCTTATATCTAATAAGAAGAGGTAAATCCAACTTCTTGTGCTAGTGCCATCAGCCCATTACTATAGTTTTGTCACTGCAATGCTGTAGTCTAATAGTAAACTTATGCTTTTACTTCTACATGCTTTTATTGTAAAGCATAATGTCACTTGATTAGGTTGCTGACTGGATATTCTTGGGTTTACATACGTTGACAGATCGTTTGGTTGGTGAATTTGTTGCCATTTATAATATGTTTATTTGGTTGTGTTTAAGACAACATCTACTGTTACTGGTGTAATTCCTTGGTGGACTGTATTGTGTGAAAGGCAATGTGTTTGGAATGACCCTTCTTTATACCATGGAACCGAACTGCTTTAATAGTCAATCTTGAGTACTTGTGTCCTTACAACATGTTATGATATTTATTCACCTATTCTTTTTGTTGAGTTTCACTTCATTTGAATAGTTGTATGTTGAAGTGTGCTCGTACAGTTTAGGACATCACGAAGTAACCTTTGGTTTAAATGAAAGAGCTGTTACCCCCAGTCTCATTTCCACGAAATCAGAGATTTCTGTTTGGTAACCGAAATGTTCTGGAAATAAAAACAAAGCAATAGCTCTTGCTTGACAGTGCCTTCAGGCCACTAGCATGATGAGCTCAGATTCTCAAGCCCATTAATACTTACATTCATATTCTTTCTGATTTGCTGCCAGCTCCTGTAGATATGCATTTCAGGCAAAAAACATAGGAGTTCCAAATGTTGGACCATGGTAATAATATAAACAATGATTAAAATTATATCACAGAACTGTACTTCTCATGGTGGTATGTCACTGGCGTTGGGAGGCTCAGGTCTTGTTTTTTAATCTTGACAACTGCAATAGTGTAGCTTTTCAGTTATTTTCATTCCCAAGTTCAAACTATAATTAGGAAAAAACTGTTTTTTTTTTCTTTTTCTTTTAAATCTGCTTGCCAGTGGTATCTGAAAACTTTGGTGTCCTATGTTTTCCTTTTTGTTGATATGAAATATGAACCTTGGATGTGATGTAACTACCAACCCATGACATTTGTAGTTATAGGTGTGAATTCGTTAATACAAGTCTTTAATGAGAAATTAGATCTTAACCCACACTTTACTTCCTCATTTGATAATTTGCACTATCCTGTGGCAAATCATCAACCCCCTTGTAAAGTGTGCCAAATATCTAGATCCCCAGTCTTTAACAGCCTCGTCAGTCTGGGTTCTGATATTCATTCTTCATTTCAGGGGTTACAAACGGTTCTTTCGGCGAACTGCTCTTGAGACATCGGACTTTCTTAAAGATGATTGTTTGAGGATAAACTGCACTGTGGGTGTTGTGGTTTCAACTATTGATTACTCCGGACCACACTCCATTCAGGTTCCAGACTCTGATATTGGCTACCACTTCGGTTCTCTTTTGGACAGTAATGAAGGGGTTGATGTTATTCTTAATGTGAGTGGAGAGAGGTTTCATGCCCATAAGTTGGTGTTGGCTGCACGGTCTACTGTATTTAGATCCAAACTTTTTGACGATGAATCAGAAGGAGACAAGAACGAGGTTAATGAGAGTGAGGATCTGAAGGAGATTGTTCTTGATGATCTAGAGCCCAAGGTTTTCAAGGTGTGTATCTATTTTGTTTGTTATCAATGTCTTCCAGTATAACCTGGGAGCAAGTATACTTACTGTATGTGGATACTCCGTCCAGGCAATGCTTCATTTCATCTACAGAGATACCCTCGTTGATGATTATGAGTTGGATGCATCAGGCTCCATGGGCTCTATTTTTGATACTTTGGCGGCAAAGTTGTTGGCCGCAGCAGACAAGTATGACTTAGGAAGGTTAAGATTGCTATGTGAATCTTACTTGTGCAAAGGCATTTCTGTGGCCTCGGTTGCAAGTACTCTTGCATTGGCTGATAGTCACCATGCCATGGAGCTTAAAGCCGTTTGCCTAAAATTTGCTGCAGAAAATCTTTCAGGTACTTAAGCTTTTACATCAAATCTAACTTAAATTCATCACACGGTACAGTAGCATTCATACGTGAATTCATGTTTAGTCAAAAAACTTGCCTGGCAGTGGCATTCAAGTAATCATTTTGTGGATTTATATAAGTGCCATGCTCTGGTCCGTGGTCACTGATGGGGATTTTTCTTACGGAGCGTTTAAAGTATGAACAAAAAGTGGGGGGAATGATTACAAGCTATAAACAATTTCAGTGAGAGATGACATGTGCATGCTTTGAGTTTCTGGCGTTACATTTGTTTGACATGCAAGTAGAAGATAAGTACCTTGATGTTGTACTGTAGATGATGATTCTCATTGGTGTAGTTGTATTGCTTTGCTTTCTGAGGTATAAATATGTTTGTGCTGCTTAGTTGCACTATCACGTTTCATGATTAGTAGAATTGCTGTTAAATATGATGCACTTGAATGTACTCCCTCTGATCCATAATAAGTGTCACAGTTTTGAACTAAGTTTGAACTAACCTTAGTTCAAAACTGTGACTTATTTTGGATTGGAGGGAGTAGTTTTTCTAGATGTTAGACTATGTAGTTTGCTAACCAAGAATAATGCAATTAAATCAACTAGCAGTCTTTTTCAGCAATTTAGATCTGTTACTGGCTTGGAAATTAATGCTTCATATACATGGTTGCTTTCTTGGCGCAGTTAATAAGTTTATAAAGCTGCATAACATTCTAGATACCCTTATGTCTCTGCAGCTGTGATCCGGACTGACGGGTTCGATTGCCTCAAGGATAATTGCCCATCACTTCAGTCGGAGATACTGAGAACTGTTGCTGGGTGTGAGGAGCCGTGCAGTAGTGGCGGGAAAAGCCAGAGTGTATGGGGACAGCTTTCGGACGGTGGCGACACTAGTGGCCGTAGGGTGAGGCCAAGAATCTGAGGCCACCCCGAACTCTGCCCTGGCTCGGAGGCTCTTGTGTAGATCGGGCAACAATTTGTGCTGTATGTTGTGAAAACAGTTTAACTAGGTGTGACTCATGCCATCTTATCGCGCTCTTTTTTACACTTCAATTCATGTTCATATGTTGTTAATAGCTATTTGATTGTTTGATCTTGGAACCTTTGCCTACTTGCTGTGCTAATTGATAATAATATGGGCATGACCTTGGACGCGCCGATGTTTTGTCCTGATCTTTTACGATGCAAAACTCCTCCAAGATCCACCGATAAAATAACACTCCTAATTAGGGCGACGACGACCAATGGACAATCCCAGAAACCTCCTGCCAAAGTAGACGTAAACAACATGCAACCTGTTGAGAACGATGGATCTTGAGTCAAGTGCAACTTTTAATGTAGAAAATTCACATAAAATAAATAACAGTCAACTGCAACTTTTAGTGCAAAATTTTTCACATAAAATAATTAACAATGACACGCAAAGAATGCCGCTTAATATTGGGTACACATGTTGTCTAACCTGTTGAAAACATAACCTCCACTCATAATACTCAGTATACTGCACATATAAAAGCAACAATACAAAACGCCATCAGAAAGAGATATTTTGATATCTTTTCAGTTTTGTTATGTCAATCTTTACGTGACTTGTATTTTGTTCTTTATAATATGAATGAGACACGTATTATCAGGTAAAAAAAAGAATCAGGCACGCAAGCCCACCACATGTACATGTACGTGTGAAGATCTCCTAGTATTTCCTTCAAATCCAACCACTTGTCCAACACGTCATCTCTCTCCTAGTCCTAGTACAATTTCATTAGGAAAACGATCAATTTCAACCGACTGATTATGTCCTCGCGTAAACCGCTCGTTACATACGCCACGCGTCCCCTTGGGACTGGCCTACCGCCCACCCTTTCCTTGACTCAAGCAAACCACCCATTCATTTCCTTATCCTTTCCCTAAAACGCGAGCCTCTTCTTCTCCATCACTTTTCCTCTCGTGCTGACTCTAGCCATGGCCATGAATCTTTTTCTCTACTGCCGCCGCTGCTACTGCTGTAAGGGATAGACACCCGCGGTGGCTGGGGGCGTCGAGCTGTAGATGGGTTGCCGCGCGTTGCAAGCGGTTTCACCTATGCTGCAAGGCGGAGCTCGGGGCGGCGAGTCGGGGGTCATGGGCAGCTCCTGTGACGGCGGCGATGCTGTGTGCTATGACGATCTGGTGCAAGCGGCGTCGCAGATGCAATGACGGCGTTGACGTGCTGCGGGGCCGCAAGGGTGTAACACCCACGATGCGGCTATATCTTCCACGTGTCGAGGCACGACTTAGAGGCATAACCGCATAGTGGTTTAGTCGCAAGAGGGGTAATCTTCAACAATCCCATGCAATAAACAAGAAAGGGATAAGGAGAGTTGGCTTACACTCGCCACGTCACATAATACATAAACAATTCATACATCAACCAAAATACACACATAGACCGACTACGGTCAAATCCAAATGAAAAGGAAGATAAACCCCAAATGCTAGATCCCCGATCGTTCCAACTGGGCACCACTACTGATCATCAGGAAACGACACATAGTAACGACCAATGTCCTCGTCGAACTCCCACTTGAGTTCGGTAGCATCATCTGGACTGGTATCATCGGCACCTGCAACTGTTGGGAAGTATCCGTGAGTCACGAGGACTCAGCAATCTCATGCCCGCGAGATCAAGACTATTTAAGCTCATGGGTAGGTAAGGTAATGAGGTGGAGCTGCAGCAAGCGCTAAGCAAATATGGTGGCTGACATACGCAAATAAGAGTAATATGAGAAGCTACGCAACGGTCGTGAAGTTAGAGGTAATCAAGAAGTGATCCTGCAACTACCTGTGTTCAAACATAACCCAAACCGTGTTCACTTCCCGGACTCCGCCGAAAAGAGACCATCACGGCTACACACGCGGTTGACTCATTTTAGTTAAGTCAAGTGTCAAGTTCTCTACAACCGAATATTAACAAATTCCCATCTGGCACATAACCGCGGGCACGGCTCTCGAAAGTTTATACCCTGCAGGGGTGTCCCAACTTAGCCCACTACAAGCTCTCACGATCAACGAAGGATATTGCTTCTCCCGAAAAGACCCGGTTAGTCTCGGAATCCCGGTTACAAGACATTTCGACAATGGTAAAATAAGACCAGCAAAGCCGCCCGAATGTGCCTACAAATCCCGATAGGAGCTGCACATATCTCGTTCTCAGGGCACATCGGATAGGTCAAGCTACGAGTAAAACCAACCCTCAAGTTTCCCCGAGGTGGCCCCGCAGGTTGCCCGGTTTGGACCAACACTCAGAGGTGCACTACCTCAAGGGGGGGGGGGGGTTAAAATAAAGATGACCCTCGGGCCTGTAGAACCCAATGGAAAGTTATAGGTTGTTAGGCAAATGCAAAACCAAGGTTGGGCCTTGCTGAAGGAGTTTTATTCAAGGCGAATTGTCAAGGGGGTCCCATAACCCCAACCGCGCGAGGAATGCAAAATCAAGGAGCATAACACCGGTATGACGGAAACTAAGGCGGCAAGAGTGGAACAAAACACCAGACAAAAGGCCGAGCCTTCCATCCTTTACCAAGTATATAGATGCATTAATTAAAATAAGAGATATTGTGATATCCCAACATAACCATGTTCCAACATGGAACAAACTTCAACTTCACCTGCAACTAACAACGCTATAAGAGGGACAGACTCAGGCATAGCCTAGTGGTGGGAAGAGACTTATGCCTTCCCACCCACCCAGGTTTAAGGCATGGTACTTGCAATTTGGGTTTTTTGCACCATTTATACTGTAGGGGGTTCCCTTACAGTCTTTCTGTCAAAAAAACAACGCTATAAGAGGGGCTGAGCAAAAGCGGTAACATAGCCAAACAACGGTTTGCTAGGAAGGTGGGTTAGAGGCTTGACATGGTAATATGGGAGGCATGATATAACAAGTGGTAGGTAGCGCGACATAGCGATAGAACGAACAAGTAGCAAGCAAAGATAGAAGTGATATCGAGGGTATGGTCATCTTGCCTGCAAAGTTCTCTGAGTAGTTGAAAGCTCGATCCTCGTTAGCGTACTCAACAGGTTCGTCATTCACGTACTCATCTCCCGGCTCTACCAAAAGCAAGAACACAAGCAACAGAACAACAATCAATCACGGTGCAATGCACAAGCAACATGATGCAAGACATGACATGGAATGCAAAGGTATGATGTGCAATGCATATGCGTACGCCGGAAGGGAAAGGATGAACAAGGCATCAACTTGTCAGAACAAGTATGCGGCTGGAAATATGAGGTGATTTCGGTCGAAATCAATATAAGGATCACTGGAAATGGATGCACGGTTCGCAAAAGATAAGCAATACAAGAATGATGCAAATATGCGATTAACAACATCATAGCACTTAGAATGCAACAAGAAACTATGCTACAACACTCCAACATAGCAACAAAGCATATGAACATAAAGTACATATGAAGCTTATCAAAACATGAACACTAAGCTCCTTCTAGTTCTCCCTAGAACAAGCTCAAAATAGCATGGCAAAAATGCAAATGATATCAGCTTCACAAACTTGGAGAAAATACTAAACATGACAAAACAACATCAGGAAGCAATGTTTAGAACAAGAAAACAACATGCTACAAGAATATAACATGGCAAACAAAGGCATTACATGCTAGTACTAAACACATAGAATAAATACACCTTACTGAACTTTAACCAAAGAGGCATGGAAAATGATGTGGCACCCATGCAAACATGGCAATTTATGTTATCAGTTTCAGACTTAGAAGGAAAACAGAGCATGGCATAAACAGATTCATGATAGCAACTTTGCGAGCTCAAATCACTCACCACAAGGCACTACATGGCATGGAAAGGTAACCAACATGAATTATACTTATTCAAGAAGCTAAACATGCCAAGAGCAAGTTCATATGATACATGCATCACTAGCAACACACATGGCAATATTGAATATCATGTTAACACTCTGCCAGGAACAATATTTAGCAAAAGTAGAGCAAGACAATGACATGCTAGAGTACTCCATAATTGCAACTAGAGGCATGAATGGATAGAGAAATACCACATATACAAAACATGCTTCCTGAAATACCTCAAAATGTGCATGGATCTCATGGTAGCAACAAGTTTACATGGCATCAAAATGTGACAGGAAAAGGACTTAGCAAAACTACTAAGTGTCTGAAAACAGCAACATTATGAAGCCTACTTTGCATGCTAGTGCTAGTCACCACATAGATCACAAAAATACAATACTTGCACCTCTGTAAATATGGCATGATGGATCGCGTAAAACATGTAGACATAATGCTCATAGGATGCACACGTAAAATGCAACGAAAATGACAAATCATCAAGTTCTGTTAACAGACAACAGTTAACATCATATAGCACTTTTTCAACAAGGATAATGGCATCAATATGGACAGTAACATGCATGCAAATGCCACTAACATGAAGGTATCACGAGACGAACATTTTGATATATCATAGTCATGAAACGGAGCTAAGGTCATGGAGATATGGCATGTCAAAGAGAGCATCACAATGTTATAGATCTGGAACTTAGAAAATATACCCCTCACGGATTGGATCTAGGGTTTTGGGGCACGCATCCCGAGGCGGCTAGAGTCGTTCGCCAGAGTAGGAGGAGGCGGCCGTCGGAGATGAGGAGGCGTCGCCGGAGTGCGGTGGTCGCCGGAGAGGAGCCCGGCGGGGCGGGGACGACGACGCGGGGCGGCGCCGGGGAAGACTCGGGGCGGCAGCGGCGGAGCGTGGCATGGAGGTGGCGGCGCATGGTGGTGGTCGGCGACGGTCGCGGCGGAGACGGGCACGGGAGGCGGCGGCGGGACCGGGTGGCGCGGTGGAGTGATGGGCCAGCGGGGGCCAACTGCGGGCTTAGCGGGCCGATG